TGTATCGTTAAAAATTATTTTTTTATTTTGTACAAACAAAATAAATATATTGAAAAATATAAAAACAATAAAAAATTATATTTCAGAAGTTAATTTAGTATCAAAAACATAAAATATTTGAGTAGCCCAAGACATAGCCAAAGATTGCAGCACCACAGCACTGGCAAAAATTTAAATTTGCCGACTGGAATTCTTTCAGATAATTGCCATTTCGGATAAACGACGCTCTACTGTATTCGTATATTATTGAGCATGTGTGTGTTTGTTTTTGCGTAACATTGTTTTTTTCATAAAACTTGAAACTCTATAAAATGGAAAAGAAGAAAAGTAAAGCCATCTAAGGTTTTTAAATAAAGGCAATAATCAAGAGCAAAATAGTGATACTTTTGAAAATGTGCCAAGTACTAGTACTTCAAATTCAGAACAAGCAAAGAAAAAATTGTATGTCAATACTTTGGAATGTGCAATATCACCTAAAAAGTCAAAAAGAAACTTTGTCAGACATTATAATAAGGAGTATTTAAAGTTTGGTTTTGTTTTAGCACCAGGCAGTAAACTATTACCACAAACCTTTGTGTAGTGTACTCCGAAATTTTGTCAAATGACACCATGAAATCCAAACTTGATTGTCATTTGAATTTGAAGCACAAAGATTTTATTGTTAAGCTCATAGACTTTTTTGAAAGATTATGTGAACATATTAAACAGAAAAATGTAATGAAAACGATGGTGACTAGCAACAAGTCATTACTTCGAGCATTGTACTTAGTGGTTCTTTGTATAGCTAAAGCTAAAAAGCCATTTATGATTGGTGAGGAGTTAGTAAAACCTTGCATCTTAGATGTTGTACAAGAAATTTTGGTACCTCAATCCATTAAAAAACTGGAGGCTATACCCATGTTGGATAATACCATTCAAAGAAGAATTGTTGATATGGCAATAGATATCGAAATTCAAGTTGTAGAAGGGATAAAGAAATCTAGATATTTTGCATTTCAGCTTGACAAGTCTACTGATGTGAGTAACCATGCTATCCTTCTTTGTTTTGTGAGATATAGTGAAGAGGAAGTCTTACAGGAAGAACTTCTTTGTTGCCTTGATTTATCTGGAAGAATTACTAGTTCTGAGATATTTAGTACTCTTAATAATTATATTCAAGCACAAGGATTAGACTGGAAGAAATGTGTGGGAAGGTGTATGGATGGTGCTGCGAGTATCATTCTGGAGTAGTTGCAAAAATAAAGGAAGTTGTGCACCCAGAAATATTGTCAACTCACTGCATAATCAATCTAGAACATTTAACTGCAACGAAGCTTTCTGCTGAACTGAATGATAAATAATGTAGTAAAGATTGTTAATGAAATTCATAGTTGGGCTATGAATTCCAAGCGGTTCACAATATTGTGAGAGAGTATGTACTCACATCACTATCATCATTTTCTCATGGTGAAATGAGGTGGTTATCATGGTTATCAAGAGGAAGCGTTCTTACATGCCTTTTCGAATTAAGAGAAGAGGTAACAAAATTTTTATGGTCCTGAAAATGCAATTTAATAGAATCTTTGTTAAATGAAGAATGGATGGTTAAACTTGCATATATGGTTGACATATTTAATCTTCTTAATGAGCTTAACAATTCACTTCAGGGATTTTGTACAAATATCTTTACAGTGAGAAATAAAATGGATGCGTTCAAAAAGAAGCTGGATCTTTGGGACAGTTGAGTACATAAGAAAGATGTAGAAATGTTCCCAATTTTGAGTTAATTTTTAACTACAGCTGATGTCAACAGAAAGTAATATTGAAAATAATTAGTGAACATTTAAAGGTATTAGTTGAAAACTTAATAACTATTTCCCTGAAAGTGAGGATCCTTGTAAGGGCAACCTTTGTATTAATAATCCTTTCCTGGAAGACATGCACTTGATTTTCATGATAAAGAAAAGCTGATAGAATTATCTACTGATGTCACTTTAGTTTTGAGACATAAAATGATGTCATTGCCTCAGTTTTGGATATCGCGTAAAAAAGAATATCCAATATTGAGTGATAAAGCTATCAAATTATTAATTGTTTTTTCAACTTATTATTTGTGCAAGAAAACTTTTAATGCCATGTCAATAATAAAAACCCAGCAGAGAAATCAAGTGGATATAAATGCTGCACTTCATCTTTCAGAAACAAACCTGCAGCCACGAATAACTGATTTGCTAACAAAGGAGCAACACTAATAATGTCATATAAATTTGTATTTCTATTCAATTAGATAATAAAAATATTATTTAGGTTTAGGTTTTTATTTCAGTCTTGATAGTTTGCCGGTCCACAAGTGTGAAAAGGTTGAAAACCACTGTTATAGAATACAGGAATCAAACTTCTATTGGAATCTGACTTGTATATAGAAGAAGAAAAGTTAGAATGAAGGCTACATCAAAGTATATTATTGAGCAAGAAGTAGTTTCATGATTTTAATAATGTAGTAGATAATAAATGTTTACTTTTTGTTTATACTTTAAATATTTATTTATTTTTAATAGGTGAACACATCAAAAATTGGAGACCACGTTACTTTGTCTTATTGGATGATGGGTCACTTATTGGATTTAAGAGCAAACCTGAACATGGATTTGCTGATCCATTAAATAATTTCACTGTTAGAGGTAAAATATTTAATTTTTAAATTAGTTTAGAAGAAGAAAAAATACATTGAAATATTAAATTTATGCATATTTGAATAAAGGTTTAATCGATCAATAATTGAAATTATTTAATTATTTTTATTTGAATTTTTTAATTTATAGATGTAAGATTATATATATTAGTATGATCTTGTTTTATATGGGCTTTTGCATGTCAGTAGTTACTACATAAAACAAGTGTATAAATGTGTGCTTCAGCCTAATTAGTCCTAGATGATTGCCTAGACACTTACGCAACTGTTTATGTTTAACAAAAGGCATTTAACACATTTTGTCATCAGTTTTTACTATACAGTGAATAACATCTGCTACTTGTCAATATATAGAGCAAAATTTTATTATACCATATCAAGTTTACTACTAGATAAAAATACATTCAAATCAGAGTATTCACCACAGTGAGTAGCATTAACTGTGTGTTTGGAATATCAGAAGCTGGAGAAATGTGTGATTTACTGACTTAAGATTCAGATTTAGTGGCATTTAGGATGTTACATGTTGTGGTCATCTTTTAGAGGAACAGTAATAGAAGCTGCTGGTTTTTATTTTAATTATGAACATAATGATATTTTAACACTATATGCAACTACTAGTCTTTCCTTAAATTTTATCTTATGAATCAGATTGTCATTATATTTGAAAAAAAAAGTCTGCAATAAATTTGGCATCACACATTGCCTGTACAAGACTTTTTTTCAGGTTGAGCTTTTTCTCTTGAAGTCATTCCTCCTGGAACTTAATTCTCAGCTTCCAATGTATTAACCAATAAACTCTTCCAGGTCATTATTTAATACTGTTGTTTGGTCATCAGTTATGTCCATGTCCTCTTCTAAGTTTTCAAAATCTTTGTCACTAATTCTCCTGGCATTTTTTTCTGCAGTTCTCATAATGTATAATACATCTGGAATGGTTCGTAGTTTGTCTGAAGTGACAGACTTTACACAATAGGCTGTTACAGATTTGTCTTTGTTTTTCAACTTTATTACTTTATTAGAAAGAAACTCAGCTGTGTTAAATCCTTTCAAAACTGAACAATGATGAGATTCTTGTTAAGATGTTGCTCAGGATGTGACTTACACATTGCTGAGGCCTTGGACATCTCAACAATGTTTGAGTCACATTGCTAAGATGTCCAAGCCCTTAGTGATGTTACTTGTACATTTCATCATGTAGTCTATTTTAAAGAGTTTGATTATCTCCTGATTTAAGAGGATGGATAAGGGATATAGTATTAAGAGATAAAGGCAATCTCTTCTTTGTTGTTTGCAAACTCATTTGCATCACTTATACATCCTAGGGCATTATCTAGAACAAGGACTTTAAATCCCTTTTTCTTACAGATATTTTTATTTTTTTTTTATTTTTGAGAAGAAAGCAATGGAGAGTTAGTCTGAAAAGAGAGGTTCTTCAAAAGCTTTCTTATTCTACTTCTAATACACTGGCAAAATAACCCTTTGTCAGAAAAGTTCCAGGACAAAGCTCATAAAAAATAGAAAATTGCAATTACCAAGTAATGATTCTAGCTCCTGTCAAAGTAGTCTCTTCAGCTATATACACAATTGTCAATGTTTCTGGAGGTCTTGGAAGCAAGCAGAGAAAGTGCCAAGTGTGATGCTTGTTAGCTCATTTGTCACAAAAGTCTGTTGGGTGTCTGCAATATCTTGACGAAATGTCCCTTTCAGCTGCTTGACTAAATGACCCTTTCAGTTGCAATCCTTTGTCAGAAAAGTGTGATTTTTTTTCTTGTTTCCACGAGTGAAAAGGCAGGCTTCTCTGGTTGCTTCCAAGACCTTTGGCAATTGTGTATATATAGCTGAGGGTACTACTTTGACAGGAGCTAGGATCATTAGTTGGTAATTAAAATTTTCTATTTTTTTGAGCATTGTCCTGGAACTTTTCTGACAAAGGGTGTATTCCTGTTGCATCCTCTAAGATCTGTTGGATTTCAAGCTCAGTAAATAAGTGTTACAATCCAAGAAACTTTTAATCCAGCAGAGTATTTTAATGGAACAAAAACATTTTCAGCTACTTTGATCAGCCATCTTCAGGTTCTAACAACAGAATTTAAACTAAATAGAACATTTTACAATATGTAACATTGCAAAATGATTATTATTGGAATCTATATACTAGAGATAAAACATCCATGCATTTGATAAACCATTCATATTGTGATGATTTATGCAGTTGCCAGCTATGCTATTTATAAATTTTGGTGATTTCAGCTTGTTTACTGATGATGAAATGAGCTGATTGTCCAAGAACAACATGTCTCCTGTAGAATTGCATTCCTTCCTGATTTCATATTGATGTGTTTTTATTCTCTGACACCTCAGAACAACAATCAAAGAACACACCAATATGACATCAGGAAGTGACACAATTCTATTAGGTTGTTGCAAATTAAATTGCCGATTTTTATTTCTAACTTTGAACATTTATTAATTTAATTTTAAACTTACATATTCAATCAAAATTGCTTCCACCAACATTAATACATTTTTTCAAATGCAGTAGAAATACATTAATGCCAATTTGATAGAGAAATCATGAGAATGAGAAACCAAAAAGTCGTTAAAAGTACTTTTTATTGCATCCTCTTCCTTGAAGACTTTCCTTGCCAAAAAAACTGCCCAAATGTATAAAAAAATCCAGCAATGAGTTGAATAACTTTCCTGGCTGTTATGAGTTTTATTTAAAAAAAAAAAATAACTTTTAAGCAAAATAAATAAAATTGTGTGGGGCATCGTCTGTTATCAGATTTTTTTTAATAAAAACTTTTTATTTTTAATTATTATAAAATGACAAAAAGCTTAATTTTGAGGGTAGGGATGGGTTTTATGAAAAACTATAAATGTTGATAAAGATTTTATTCAATACTAAGTCCTACCCTTCTCGAGTTATGATATACGATCAGGCTTCATCGTATGGCGGCAACATTGTTGCAAAGTAACAGTGTAGTCTGATCTCTCACTGCTTTAAACCATGGAGCCATTTTCTCTTTGATAGTTGTATAGGTATTCTGAGTTATCTTCAAAAACAATGCTGTTTTATTGATATTGCAATCCTGTTCAAGTTGATAGCTGTTGCATTAGTGAATGCCTTTTTGAAGTTTTGGAACCTGTTTTTTGAGAGTCTGTGATGCTGTTAATTGAGGAAATTTGTTGTGAAGCACAAGTTCCTTGGTGGAAATCATACTAAAATGCATAGGCAGGTTTTTCTTATGTTGATCTTCAATCCAAATGAATAAAGCATTCTTTATTCTCAATGTTGTTATGCTCACAACTCTCATATTTAGCACCAGCTTGTACTGCCTCTCCGACCTCTTGATTTTTTTTTTACATACATATGTTTTGTACAATAGTTCCATTGACACAAAACATTCAACCTAAGATCACTTATAAGAGCAATTCTCAACACTTACCTAGAAGTTGCACCTTCTCATATAAAGGCATCACTTTTCTGGTCTTTTACTGTCACTAGATTCATAATCATATTATAGTGTAAGCTGGAACACTCCTTTCATAAACTTCGTGTCTTGTTTAAATATTTATAATCAGACATTTAAACAAGACATGGAAGTGTATGAAAGGTGTGTTCCAGCTTGCACTATTATATGATTATGGATCTAGTGACAGTAAAAGACAAAAATGTCTGATTATAAATATTTATAGTCTTGAGATGATGTCTCAAAAACAGGAGCAATAGAACATTCCAACTTTAAAAAGTTTTGATCAACATTCTATAAACAATGATCATAACCTAAAGCAAGCTTCTGAATGAGGCCAAGAACATTTGTGATTATAAATACCATGTGATGAAAGTGTGTATGAAATATGTATTGTGAAAAAAACTAGATGATTTCTTTTGAACACATGGCATTCATTTAAGCACAGTTATTTTTATGCATAAGCAATCAAAATAAGAAATAGGTATTGGATTTCCAAGTATTATAAGTTTAGTTTTACATAGCTCTTATGGTAGATAAACAACATTTTTCTTTCTTCATATATCAACAGTAGAACTTTTTATTTTCATTTAATTTTAATAATTTTCTCAACCTTAATCTTTCTTTTTTTTAAAGGTAGGCGTTAAAAAATTACTTTCAATTTTTATACAATAACTTTTGCTTTACAGTGACTATTTATAATAAAAATAATCGGCATGTGCTTTAATTAATAGACAGAATTACTTCTGTGTTTCTAAGCGTTAACTTTAATTAATCATTCTTCATCTTCATAAACAAATTTGTGTATAACAGCCCCACATAAAACAAGATGTATGATAAACTTCTTACTTTGCAATTTTCTATTTTAGTTGCTATATTATCTGGATTTTGTTTTTTTTTTTTGTGATTTATTTTTTACAATAAAATATAAATATATTTATAAATGTTTTTTTCTAATATTGAAAAATGAAAGGAAATGACTTATATAAATAATGCATTTTTATAAAGTTGGTTAAATACTTTATTATATTATACATATATGCATATTTGCAAGTGTTAATTCAACGTTTGAAGGCTTCATTGCTTTATCAATAATAATAATGTATAACAAGCTTTTTAATAATAATAATAATGTTTAACAAGCTTTTTGTTTATATGTTTTTGTTTTATTAAGATAGTCTATGCATAGATTTCTTGCAAAAGTATACTTGGATGTGTTTTATCATAGTTACATCATAACTCTTTTGAAATTTGATTAAATTATCTATCAAAGAAGCTTTTGTGTCATGGAAGAAATCTGTTTCTTGAATTTTAATACCATTAACATAATTTTTAAAATATGAATTTTTTAAATTATTATTATTTATATAAAAAATGATAAAGAACATCCTAAATTTATTTACTTTGAATCTCTCGCAATTTTCTGGATGCAAAAGTAAAGTTATTATGCAATAGGCTTCTGATATCAAAGTAATTATCTTCAACTACATAAATTAGTAGAGTTAAGATGTTTTCTTTTAATAAAATAAAATTACAGATTTTCCTTTCTCAAAGTTAGTTTGGATTTTTTTATGTTATCTAACTAAAAGAAGAATCAGGCCATTATTAATTTTTGTGATATGATAAAAATAATATACTGATGATTTATATTTTATTTTAAAATCAAATATTTCTAACAGGCTGTCAACTAATGAAGTCTGATAGGCCAAAACCATTTACTTTCATGATCAGAGGACTACAATGGACCACGGTTATAGAACGCACCTTCCATGTTGAATATTAACAAGAAAGGTAATATTTTAATAAATTTTCAAATAACTTTTTACCTCCCATGTTTCTACTAAAACTTCTCTTTTAACATAAGGCCAAACTGGTTGAGGAAATTTTACTGAAGAAATTCCTTGAAAGTTTTTGGAAAATTTGTCCAACATTCTCCCTTCCTGTTCCAAATCCATCTAATAAAAATACATATTAATGTATTTATTCTTAAATAAATTTTGAATTTAAAAAGTACAGCAAGACCCCACTTAATGCTGATTTGATATGATGTGGTCTGCTCAAAGCCTTAAAAAAAAAAAAAAATTATGCTGATTTAAATTATCAGAGCATTTCATTGATTCATATATAATACAATTATTTACGAAGACAAACCAATCAACAAAAGGTGGCAATTAGTTGTAATGCTGCACTTTCCTTAAATCTATGTTTGTTTTGTACAATTTTGGAAAAAATATAACATCATGGATGCCATAGGCAATATTGACTTTGCTTGGCAAGAATTAACTGATAAATGCATGAAGAAAATGTGGAACAAGTTATGGCTGAAGGTATCCAAGAATTCTCAACGAGAAAAGCCTGTTGCTATATTGTTAGGTTGATCAAATTGTCAACCTAATCGACAGAGCAAGACTAAGAGATGTAACGAGTAGGATATTGAGGAGTTACTGCAGGTTTCTGGTAAGAGCCTTACCAATGATGACCTTCAAGAACTGGTAGAACAAGGAATTCGTATAGAACTGGAAAATACATATTCTGAAAACAAAGAACCCAAAAAAATTTCTCTACAGATTTCCTTAGTAAAAGTTTGGTAATGATAACCAAAATCGCTGATCAAATTGTAGCGAATAGCAAAATGAGGCATTTTGAATATGATCTTCTGCTACTGACATTTGCTTAAGGAAAGAAAAAAAGTGACAAATGAAACTACACAACTTTATTGCAAAAAACAAGAATTTCAGAAAAGTCAGGACCTTCATCACAAAAAATGAACTTTACATTTCTGTGTGCATATGTTTGTTTATTTAACATATATTATTACACAAATTAATATAAAAATAACTTAAAATTAAAGTAAAATTTGTTTATTTTTGGTTGCATGTTTTCCTATCCCTATTTACTCTATGTTAAAATGACCCCGTTTAACGCTGTTTCATTTAGGAACGCATCCCCCACGTTAAGCAGGGTCTTACTGTATAACATTTTGAAGTATTAGAGGTTTAATTATTTATAAATTATTTTGAATTAAATGAAAAAAATGAAAATTTGTAAACATGAGAAAACACATAACTTGCACACATTCAATCATTCTGATTGTATATCATTAACTAACACAATTTTCAATTTCATAATGTTTGCATTTTAGAAATAATAAAATTTAACAGCGTAAATAATTAAAAAAATTTTCTTTTCAATCTGTAATATTACTTCTTTCAAACCTAATTTCAGGGTTAGTTGACAGACTCTTAATGAAGATAATGAAAATTATATACATATGGTCAAAATGTTCTTTGGAGGAGCATACATTTTTTGGTCAATTCTGAGTTTTTGACTAAAGAGATTTTTATGAGATATAAAAATATTTTAAATTTGAAACAACTTTAATTTGAATTAGTAATGAATTAAAAGTAACAAAAATTGATTTTCAAATTTTTTAAATTTTGGAGGCAGTGAAAGCATACTTTTCAAGTATAAATCATTTGAAATAACTACACTGGGGAACAAAATGAAAGCTTTTTTTGGCACACAAATGAGAAAACCTGATCCTAACAGAATTTTTTATGCTGTTTTCAAATATATAAATAGTTTTTCTTCATCACATCTGGTTTTTTGTGACAGCTAGTTTAAATGTAATATATATTTATTTAGACAACACACATACACTTATTTATTTATCTTGTGTAAAATGGTGAAATGTGGAGCTTCTGCTGTTTGGCATTTGGAGAATCCCTCTTGAGTGTCCAACAGTAATCAGCAAGCATTCTTGAATTCCACTGACCCTGATACCTCTATTCCATGATAGAGATGTCTTGATGGAAATGCTCCCTGTGTTCATCACTGACAGCACCAAGATTGTTGGGGAAGAAATCCAGGTGGGAATCCAAGAAATGCATTCTGAGGAACATATTACATCCCATATTTGAAATCAGTACAATAAATTCTATTAGATACAATTTCTCTCTTCTATGTACCAAAAATTATGTTGACCAGTGAGCTATCAATGTTTATTGTGTTTATATTTGGAGTTGTTCAAAGCTGGAACTTAAAATTAATCAATATCACACCTTCCTTACATCTTCCAGCAATACTTTATTATAAACAAACATTTTTCAAATTGAGGTTCAATTTGAAAATGTAGAACCTGAAGCATACCAAAAATGTTTGTTTCTAATAAAGTATTGCTGGAAGACATAAGGTAGGTTTGATATTGATTAATGTTATGGTTTTAAAATCAAAACTTAAGGTTGGTTCACACTATATAGCTGGCTGGTGGCAAGTAATTGACTGACAATTATCCCTTTACATATTTGTCATTATCTGTTTTCTTGGCAGCAATTATTAACTTATATTAAGTGACAGCTGGATTAGGTAGTTAAGACATCAGCCTACCACTTTGGGGGACCAAGGATTAAATTTGAGGGAGCAAATCCCCAGGAATTTTTCATGGTCGGTGTGTCCTGTTCTTCACCACCTGGTTGCTTGCATTGTGGGTCTGACCAATACAAACAATGCATTTGGAAAAAAGGACTGTTTCATGCCCACATTTAAAAACACAAAAATTGATTAACACCAAAGCAAAATTTGTGCGCAAAATAAAAAGATTAACAATTTTAGAACTGAAAATTAATTCAGTAAATTAACAATAAATTAAAATATAAAATATTTTATTTATTGTTTTGAAATTACTAATGTTCCTATAAATGATTGAACAAATCATTTATAGAAACTCAAACAAAATTATGAACAATTTTTATAATATGTGAGTAGAGTTAAAACAGAAAATGTATTCTGATTAACTTATATTAAGAAATAAAAGGAATGCTATATTGTACTTATTTTTTGCCTTAGAAGGATATAAGTTAATAAAAACATATTTATACACATGCATTCAAATACACTGCAAAAATATTTATATGACATGAATGTCATATTTGGTGTGTTTGTTGCTCAACTGAAAACAAAAACTGTAAAATAATAACCTTTGTGTAATAATAATTCATGCAATATGTTTAATTTTTCTTAATTATAATCTTGATATTAATAAAACTTAAATGACTAACAGAATGAAATATTTCATTCTCAACATCTATGATTATGATGAGAATAAATTTAAATTATTTACTTGATTAATCATAAAATGACTGAATTCTTTTACACATCCATTGAGATCCAACCATTTTAAAAAAGGAAGAACAAATTCAACTAATTGAGCAAGACTTTTAAACAATAATAAATCTTCATGAAATCTTTTATGTATATTTGGATGCAGGACCTACAAAAGAAAATTTTTAAAAATATATAATTATTTTTTATTTTTTGAGATAAAGAATTGTATTAATTACTGTATCTGTTTTATTTACTTTTATAGCTACTGGTACTACTTTTTCATCTTTTATAAAAGTTTCTTCTTTATTTTCTTTATGAAAATATGCTTTCAATGAACTAAATATAGAATCTGTATAATGGATAAACATTTTAATTATAAAAATAAACACATAAAATTTAATGAGAAAAAAAGCTATAACATAATAAAATAACAAAGTTTTTAAAATAAAAATTTACATAGAAAATGATTTCCAATTATAAACTGTTGCAGTGTAAGCTTCTATGTGCATGCTGAAAAGTTAATTATTTTATTTATAATTTTTGAGATCAAGCCAGACTGGCCATCTAGCAATTCTGGTAATGCCAGAGAAACAGGTGCTCTTATAGGCTAGTTAACACACTGGTGGAGTCATACATGAAATGCATAATTTTAGAAACCACTTAGAAACATCTTTTATATAAAAATTTAAACATAATAGTAACAAAAGACATTGATAACATTTTCAATTTCTTGATCTGAGAGTATAACAAATATGCTATTATCTTTGTCTTTACTTAAATAAAGATAGCAATATACAAAGACATGTTTATGAATAATTACTCTCATTGCTGATCATATATCTATATACATAATATCTACAGATATAATGTGTTTGTACACTTTTTCATAAATNTAAATTGAAAAAAAAACTGTTACACTTCTTGAACAGCATGCACTTGAACTTTCTTATTCACATATCTGATATAATATAGAAAATAATTATTTTTTCTATTGAAAACTTTCATTGTTTGTTATAAAATCGGTAAAGATACACTCCTGGTCAAAAATATGGAATGAGTAGTGTCAGTTCCATGTTACAAGTAAAATAATTAAGAGATAGCAAAAAAATTTTATATTTATTGTAATTTTTATAATAAGGTAGTCATCAGTAATGCCTCTTAATTATAAATGAAAATTATTTCTGAGGAAAAGAGTTATTTAAAGAGATTACTATTTTGGCCAATTTGTTTATCAGGTAGATTATGGTGTCCATTAGTTCTGTTTTGTTTGTTGGCCTCCAGATATTTGGACCAACAATTCTCCAGATATATTCAATTGGGATTAATATTCAGAAGGTTTCCAAATCAATATAATATATTAAAACGTAGTTCAGAAAATATCCTGATCCATAATGTAGAAATTCCTGTTACTTTGCAGTTTCAAGAAAGGAATTTGCTTTTTTTAATACATGATTAAGACTATACAAATGAGTCTTTTGATGTACTTTCTCACATCTTAGGAAAATAAGTCTTATGGCAGAGTTGACCTTTCATTAGCAGATACAAATAAAAATTATAATGAACAAATGTTTGTTATATTTTTTTATTTGTATCGACACCAGAACGAAGTTTTGTAACATTTTGCATAGTGAGGCAGATGAGTAGACTCTAATAAATGGTTGACTCTGCCATAAGACTTATTTTCCTGAGGTGTGAGAAAGGATGTCGAAACACTCATTTGGATAGTCTTAATTGTGTGTTAATTTTACAATTACAGTCATGGCCATTTTATCAAATGCTCTTTTTATTATTCATAATTCTTTTTTGCTGCATAACAAGGGACCAAATATCATTGAAAAAATCCAAGCTGCATCTTTAAAATGTCTCTTTAGATTAGTCCAGTTTCATTCTGTAGGATTTGGTTATATTGATCAGCATTTATTTTACCAATAACAAAATACTTTTGTGCACAACTCTTGTTAGAACTACATTTGTATATCATGATAGATTCTTTATACTTTATGCTAATTATAATTCATTGAGGTTGATGTGCTTTTTCAGCTTTATTTTACCAGGTATACCCATCATTGAATGCCTAAAATAATAAATTGCATAATGAAATCAATTTTTTCCATCTATTTTAAAAGTAAAATGCACCTCATTGTTTTCCATAGAATAGCAATTTAAAAGCAATTTAACTATAAGAAAAAGTATTGATGCTTTTAAAATTTCTATACCTTTTGTAATAAATTTATGTATACAGTAGAAACTTAGTTATATGAAACTCTGGATTATTTGAAATGGTTTAAAAAAAAACACTAGAACCTGTAGCTTTGTGCATACCAGAGTATAATTGAGATAAAACTCTCCATGTAACTGAAAATTATGTCATCTGTAGATTATAGTGCCATGAAACTAGATTGTGTATATAGCATTACATTAGATTTCAAATAAACTGATTTATTTTCAAATACAATAATTACATTTTAGTATTTATAGTTTGAAACTTAAATATGCAGTACTTGATGCACCCAAACCATAAAAACAAATTTCTGGATTATCTAATATTTTTTATCCAAAAGATTCCAGGTTCCATCAAATTCATATAATCAAATTTCCAATGTATATATGAACTTCAAGCTAAAACATAAATGAATTGCAAATTGTTTTTAATACCTTATAACAAAATGGAACATTTATAAATATTTTGTTTTTGCAAAATATTGCAGGTGAAATGTTAAATCACCTACAGGAGTCAATTTTTTTGACATTTGTGTATATAAATGAATATTCATATACTGGATTCTAACAAGTATTCAGCATATATATTTAGTACACTCAGAAGAGGATTTCCATCTGAAAGTTTTAGCTTATTTGAATTACTGTTAAAAGTGTGGTATTTTAATTAAACACACACATTTTAAAGAATCATAATTTTTGCAAATTTTTAGAAGTTTTGCATTGATTTTTATACATTCTGAACATACAATGAAAGTATGATATGCATTTACTGCTGAATTTGTTCAAAGATCATTTTTGAGTGCATAAATTGATTTTAGAATGTTATAAAAGATCATTTAATGCTATTTATTTACTTTTATAATGACTTAAAAAATTTTCAGATTTTTATTTAACAATTTTTCTGCTCAGAATAAGTTATTTTCTAACATTCTATATATTCTATATTCTAAACTTTACATTGTGATAGGAAACACAGATTTTAATTTCCAACTCTTTTAATAATACAGTGGATTCTCAATCTATCAATTTCATATCAATTGTTTTCCCACATCTATCGACCGTTTTCTCCAGTCCCAAATAAGGATCCATATATATCATGTTATTTCTGTATTCTTCATTCCCACATTGTTCATTCTGTATTTTAACTGAAAGAAAAATGCTATCCTGCATCAATTGTTTTACTCACAATAGAGGATGCTAAATTCAAACACTGATTTTTATATAACTAAAATTAAAAGCATGTCAAATTTAACAGTTAAATCCTTTGACTACAGCTAATCAGTTTTTATTGTGATTTTTGTCTATTTTTTTGTCTACTGTTTTACAAAGTATTGTACATTATTGTCAAGATTTCCTCTTAAAGCTGGTAACACTGGTAAAAATTAGCACATTTCAATGTTACTATCTGTATGATAATTATTATATTTGTATGATTATTTTGAGCACCGTACAATGTACAATTTCTGTACAATAATTCTGTTTTGTATGATGATTTCATAAATATGCCTTACTCTGAAAACAACCATTAATTATTGGAAAAAAAACCGATTCTCAATCACTATTTTAATACATATTGCCTTTTCATTGATATTTTGTGTCTTTTTGCTGCTAGAGGGCTACTAAATTTTCAGAAGTTTTTTAGATTGGCTACTACTATATATTCTTGATTATAACGCATACCTTTGTCATACTATTTAAGACTGCTAACTGCTATATTATTTTTTTAACAATTTTTTAAAACATAGAATAAACGAACATCCGTGTGCATGCTTCATAGTGTTCAATATTACAGAAAACCATCATATAAGCCTATCACTGGTAAATACATGTTTCATACAAGATAAACAATAAAAACTTCAACATCATAAATTTCCTGTGTAGATCATTTTCCTGCATCAGTTGTTTTTCTCATGTCCCTCTAAAAATAATAGGTCGAGAATCCACTGTAATTTGAGACTAATAAAAGTAAATTCAAATAAATTGAACCTAAAACAGTTTAATTCAAATGTTTAAATTATCCAAAGTTTTTTAGTCATTTATAAATTTAACTAAATTTTTAAATTTGTTGACATTTGCTACAAAATGTATATATGTATGTATATATTTCTAATGTCTTAAATATATTTTTCAGACTCTTGATAATTTTGAATTTCTGAAAGTGCTTGGCAAAGGTNTTTAAATAAATTAAGTAAAAATTTAGTAAATCATAAGTATTTTAAATCTTTAGTAAAGAGTACTACTAGATAACTAAATGAATTTTTTTTAAGAACACAATAACATCACAAAAGCCTTTATCAACTACAAATAAATGACCATTACAGATGATTTGAATTTTTTTTCAGTTGAAATAATGTGCTTTATAATTAATGCATCATTAACATTTGCAAGATCTGAAAGAAATCCATTACACACCATCAATGGTACAAATTGTCAAGTGTTTGCACAAATGTGTATATGATTTTGGCCACTATTTGGTTTTTTTTTAAATTTTTTTTGTGTAAATTGTCTGTGCTTTTTTTGATGAAATGCTTAAGTTTATGCTACAAGTTCACACAAACTTCAGATTTATTTGCATTTATTGTAGAAAATTGTAACTAAGACTTGTTGGATAGTTGAAGTGGTAAATAGAATTCTCAAAGAAAAATTGGAAAATTCTTAACAGCAAACTAAGAAATCGAACATTACCCAAAATAAACCTTTTCTGTTGTAGAATTTTTACATAACATGCTTGGTAAAAGATTAATTGCTGACAAAAATAGTTGCTAAAGCAACATATGATAAATTACATCTTAGTCAAACTAAGAAAATTGCAACTGCTTCTGTTCTGTTTTAGCAAAAATTGAGGAAAAAATATACCTGATTTGATAGTGCCAAATCTAAAAGCAGTAAGAAAAAAATAGATATTATAAATGGGTATAAGTATAGTAGTACAGTAGAGCATTGATTATATGAAACAATTCGGTGCGGGGTTGTTCGGATAACTGATCATTTACGAAAAAATAAATTAAACACAAAACTGTACTGTACATACTTTGTATCACACATCTTACAAATACATATCTTACATAAAGTAGTACATTAAAATAGGCTTACAGTTTAAATTGGCAGAGAGGGGGAGAGTGCTGCAGTGCCACAGCACTAGTGGAAATTTTGAATTTGCCGACTGGAGCACTTTTGGTTGATCAGTATTCGGATAATCGATGCTCTACTGTATTAAATTTCTGACACTTGTTACTCAATTATTCACTAGTTGTTAAAGGCAGTAATTCAAAAGGCAGCAGGCAAACAACACTGGATATTAATTAATAATTGTAATTAAAAAATATTTTGTTATACATTTGTTAATTGTTTCAGCATGATCTTGTAATGTTAATTGATAAAACTAAAATTTCTGTTAATTGTAGTTTTATTTAACTAATTAGCTGATAACATTAAACAAGGTATCATCATAATGATAGAGAAGAAACCCTAATTAATTACAATAAATAAATATTTTAAACCTTCAGTAAATTTGTAATGTATATAATTACATTAAATATAAAATAAAAATAATGAAATACTATTAACATTTATGGATTTGTGAATTTTGATTTCTAAAAAATTTATTAAGTAAATTTTTTTGAATTTTAAAGAATATTCATTTTGTTAAGTGATATACTGTACAATTGTTTTGATTCATTTCAGAGATGAATGGATGCAGTCTATTCAGTTTGTTGCTGATAGATTACAAGATCAGGATCAAGATGTAGAGATGTTAGATCAAAGAAGAGAAGATGAATTTCGTGATAGATTTAATATTTCCACGCATACATATTCATCTAGAGGGAAAAAAATTGTGATTATAATTCCTCACTGTTTTCACTTGTATATATATTCAGTGGTGGATTTCTGCACAGGCACACAAGGAGGCCTAAATCAAGGAGGCCTAAAAATTCAGCTCTTGAGAAAAGGTTAAATACCTTCTTGTAAGGATACTGGAAAATATATCAATGACTCTCAAAACCTTTGAATATCCAGTAAAATTATTTAATTGAAATAACGAACATTTTTTACCTTAATATTCGGTCTTCATCAGGTTTTACAAATGCTGAGATTCTAAGAACAGTTCTGTGTAACGAATTTAAAAACATTAGAACGTTGTGCACGTGTGTTGCCATGGTTGCATATGTGATATTGACATATGCAGCATTCATAGCACAAACAAAATGTTATAAGTATTATATACACAAAATGAAATAAAAGAAAATAAATTACATCTGTTAGTTTATCTTATTTTATTGTAATTTATTTTCTGTTCTTTTATTTCATTTTGTGTATATAATACAGGTAGCCCTCAGTTTATGCTGCAGTTCTTTTCCTACAAAAGCCATCGTAAAATGAACCCATACTTAGTGAGGTATAGGGTTAAGTTCTATACAAGTGAAAAATAAGCAAATAATTTTGTTTATTAATACAATATAATACAAAATACATAAAATACATTTTAAAAATTAAATTTATATCATAAAATAAAGTAAAATGTTTTTATTAAAAAATTTCAGTTTCGGATCTCTCACATTTTTCGGATAAAAGTATCCATCTTTAATTGTTTGCATTTTTGTTTTCTTTCATTAAAAATTTCGGAATATGGTCGAATGGATGCGATGATGCTTCGTTTTANTGATTTCATAAATATGCCTTACTCTGAAAACAACCATTAATTATTGGAAAAAAAACCGATTCTCAATCACTATTTTAATACATATTGCCTTTTCATTGATATTTTGTGTCTTTTTGCTGCTAGAGGGCTACTAAATTTTCAGAAGTTTTTTAGATTGGCTACTACTATATATTCTTGATTATAACGCATACCTTTGTCATACTATTTAAGACTGCTAACTGCTATATTATTTTTTTAACAATTTTTTAAAACATAGAATAAACGAACATCCGTGTGCATGCTTCATAGTGTTCAATATTACAGAAAACCATCATATAAGCCTATCACTGGTAAATACATGTTTCATACAAGATAAACAATAAAAACTTCAACATCATAAATTTCCTGTGTAGATCATTTTCCTGCATCAGTTGTTTTTCTCATGTCCCTCTAAAAATAATAGGTCGAGAATCCACTGTAATTTGAGACTAATAAAAGTAAATTCAAATAAATTGAACCTAAAACAGTTTAATTCAAATGTTTAAATTATCCAAAGTTTTTTAGTCATTTATAAATTTAACTAAATTTTTAAATTTGTTGACATTTGCTACAAAATGTATATATGTATGTATATATTTCTAATGTCTTAAATATATTTTTCAGACTCTTGATAATTTTGAATTTCTGAAAGTGCTTGGCAAAGGTACATTTGGTAAAGTGATTCTGTGCAGAGAGAAAGCTACCGGTCAATTATATGCAATAAAAGTTCTTAAAAAAGAAGTCATAATTGCAAAAGTACAATTATTTGTAATTCATAAAGTTTAACTTTAAAGCAGAAATAAGATGTGTATTTTTCTGTTTGTAGGATGAGGTTGCCCATACTTTGACAGAGAACAGGGTTTTAAGAAACACTAAACATCCTTTTCTTATAGTAAGTATACTAAAGTTTTATTATTATTATTATTATAATTAAAGAGCATTTCTAAAAATATGAAATTTTATAATTGAGAAAAAATCCATTTTTTTATGTTTATCATTGTATACTTTCTTCTCTCTCTCCAAATTTTTTATATTAAAAGTTTTTTAATAGCATTGTATAAGAATATTAGTAGAATGTTAATAGAGAAATTAAATGGAAGTTATTTGAAATCATCTGTTTTTTTTAGTATGCTTTATTAAATAAAAAACAAAATACAGGATTGAAACTGAAGTGGAGAACATGTTTAATAAAAAGTACTCACAATCAGAATATTTATTTTAATATTTATAAAATCAGTTAGTGATTATCTGACTGTTTCTTTTGGCATTAAAGTATGTTTTTAAAATTAACCTGTATTATTAATAAATAAAACATAATATTAGATTAGGTTGCAAGCTTTCAATACAAATAGATCACTTCCATCAAGATAAGTAAATAGCAAATTGAATACATCAAAGGCACATAAACACAAACTACCATACCTTGGCTACAAATACATACCTCAGTTATATAAACAATACACGAAGTTTACTATAACTAATCTATAATTGCAGACAAAACAATCCATCACAACAGACTAGTGGGCTGGCCCAAGCTATAGGCATTTACTTAAGGTGTAAAAATTAAAGTGCATGACAACCAGCATCAGTTAAGTTAAAGTTAAAGGGCAACTAGGGTGCCCTTTAACTAATGCTGGTTGTAGTGACAAAAATCTGCCTAGTATGCTAGACTTTTGGGTCGGCCCTATAGAGCAGGCATCACAATGACAAGCAAACGCCATTTATCATACAAATAACTGTAAAGTACTATTTGATTTTTATACGATATGGAACTATGTGCCAGTAAGGCGTTCAGGGCTATCGCCAAACTTTACGACCGTTAACCTAACGGGTACTTTACGGGGTAGGATGCCAGCTCTGGGCTTATGTGTGCTCCAGAAATAACTATATACAAGGGTCAGTAAGGAACTCAAATATTTACTAGTAACTCAATTATTCACTATGTACAAATTAGTAAGAATCAAAAAACAATTTATTCAATGAAAAGACGCAATTAAACAAACCTGAGAAAAATAACACAATTTACTTACTATAACTTATGAATTATTCCCCCTTGGAACTTGATCATATCAATCAATTAAACTATGTACAAGAAATCTTACAACTACGAGCCTATCCATCACCTTAATACTAGGAACCTTTTTCCTTTATCCACTTTCCTTTGAACCACTCCTATCGCTATCTTCCAGACTTACTTCCAATCTCGCTCTGGAATTCACCTTGTTCTATCCTTGGCTGGAGCTTACCTTGCTTGTCTTCTCTGGTTGTGCTTGTTTTATACTCTGAGGTGACGTCACAATTCTTTCTGAAACCACTCCCCTCATTTACATACTTAACATTTAACAATAAATTTGCATGTCTTTTCCTGGGCAGCCTAGTTTCCGGCATTTCTCACTAAATCCTTTTACATTATTCTTTTTTATTACATATTCAGGATGTTAATTTTATTAAGGTTTAGCGGGTTTTCTACTTTGTGCATGTGGGGTGTTTCCCCTTCTTTCTATGGAACTTCTTTCAAACTTCTGCCTGGGAGCGCAAGTGTGCTGCGTTAGTTTCCCTACAGCGCTTCATCTAGTCAGTGAGTTGGTTTTTTTCCTTTGTCTCTTTTTCATTACTAAGGTGAGTGGTGAGGGAACCTTCGTCCTAACTAAACATAAACCCCAAACAAAATAGAATAAAAAGCAAATAAAAATTAAATAATAATACAGCTCGGACTCAGTTCCTTACATAACTAACGCCCAAAACATTATGCATTTATAATTATCAAAATGTGCTTACATTTTTGCACTTTAATAAATTAGTGATGGGATGATACAAAAATTTCACCCAATTTTGATTTAGATTCTGCCAAAAATTCCTGATTTTGATTTTTGTAAATAGTTTCTAAAGATTATTTCAGTTTAGAAAAATTAATGATTTGCATTATGTACATTCGTTAATTAAATGAACATTAAGCTTAAGAATGGAAAACGATTTGGAAATCCAGAATCAATCTTTTGAAAAAAATGTGAAAATTCTCCATTGATATGTGGATATGCATGCTTTCATTATGTACTGTACTACAAAATAAATTTGTAATCTTATTTTCGATAAAGTTAATATTGCAACATTACCCTCAATGAAATTACAACTAATTTCCTTTTACTTAAAGAACTATCCCATCATGTCATGTAGGGTCATCATCTTTGGAAACTAGTTTGTCGGTCAACATACTGACTGGGAAGGGAAAGGTAAATGAGAAGATGCCCTTTTCTCACACTTCTCGCAATAGGCATGCATGTCTTGTAAATGATATAACTCCATCATATTTAATACTAAAATGAGATTTGACAAAAGATTCAATGAGCCAAACAAATACCATTATCATGAGTTAACCAATTCTTGAATTCATTCATTTACCACAAATGTCTAGACCAACTCATCTTGAAAAATCAATTTTTAAAACTCAAAATAGCATTAAACTTAACATGAACAAATATTTTTACTCAGAATCATATGAATGACATTTGAAAATTTAACCTATTACAGCATTCTGTGAATCATAACAAAAACTTTCATAATTATAATGAGTCATTTTATCATTATAAGTAAACATACTAAATATTAAAAATAATTTTATATAATATATTTTTTTCAATTAAAATATAATTTTGTTTATATTTTAANATATTCATCTAGAGGGAAAAAAATTGTGATTATAATTCCTCACTGTTTTCACTTGTATATATATTCAGTGGTGGATTTCTGCACAGGCACACAAGGAGGCCTAAATCAAGGAGGCCTAAAAATTCAGCTCTTGAGAAAAGGTTAAATACCTTCTTGTAAGGATACTGGAAAATATATCAATGACTCTCAAAACCTTTGAATATCCAGTAAAATTATTTAATTGAAATAACGAACATTTTTTACCTTAATATTCGGTCTTCATCAGGTTTTACAAATGCTGAGATTCTAAGAACAGTTCTGTGTAACGAATTTAAAAACATTAGAACGTTGTGCACGTGTGTTGCCATGGTTGCATATGTGATATTGACATATGCAGCATTCATAGCACAAACAAAATGTTATAAGTATTATATACACAAAATGAAATAAAAGAAAATAAATTACATCTGTTAGTTTATCTTATTTTATTGTAATTTATTTTCTGTTCTTTTATTTCATTTTGTGTATATAATACAGGTAGCCCTCAGTTTATGCTGCAGTTCTTTTCCTACAAAAGCCATCGTAAAATGAACCCATACTTAGTGAGGTATAGGGTTAAGTTCTATACAAGTGAAAAATAAGCAAATAATTTTGTTTATTAATACAATATAATACAAAATACATAAAATACATTTTAAAAATTAAATTTATATCATAAAATAAAGTGAAATGTTTCTANATAGTTACGCCTTGACTTCTGGTTCAGCATAGCAGTAGGCACTGGTATATATGCCATGTAGAATACTCTATCAACCCTATAATAATAATAATAATAATAATAATCATCATCATATACAAATATAAACAAAATTATATTTTAATTGAAAAATTATATAAAATTCTGGTCTTTACACCAAAAATAAAATTAATTAAAATCAAATCAATTGAAAATTAAAGCAATATTTTTAAAAACCATTTTAAAATTGTTTTGAAATTTTCAAATTGTAAATCAAATTAGTTTTTAAATTTACACTATTTGTGGGCAACAGTGACAAAACATTTTGCTTTTAATAAATGTACAGAATACAGATTGACAGCCAAATATCAGCCAGATGGCAACCCTAAAGTCACCCCGTCTCCCCTAAAATGTGGGGATAGTTAGTATCAACTGAGTGCAATCTTTCATTACTCTGACTACACAAAAGAAAAGTCTACCATGACAGATGTCACCTTGTATATGGGGCATTATGTATCCTCCACTTTGTTGACGTGAAAATTTCAAATAAACTAATACTTAATTGTTAATATCATAATTTAAAAAATTTTTAATATTCAACTGAAACAAATAACTAATAATTATATAAAATGTGGAAGTATCATTTTAAGAATCAGAAATTTTACTGATATTTTCTTGATTCAAATACCAGGAAAATGTCCAATTGTTCAGATTTTCAATTCAATTAATCGTCTTGCCATTACTTTAAATGCCTAAAATATGCATTTGTAAATTGTGATTTAAGGATACCACAGACGCAGAAAATGGCAACTTAAATCATTTATTGATACTAAATATAATTCCTGAACAGTTAATAGTTGTAGTAACGCACTAAATAAATTTTCAAATTTTCGAAATTGAACCTTTGTCTTTTATCAGAAAATACAATTTTACATCCAGAGAATCTTCCTTCCCTGAAAGATGATGTAATTGATGCATATTTAAAACACACTAATTCTTTGATTCTAGTCTGTTTTTGGATCAAAAATAGTCTTTATTTCCTTGTAGAATGTTGGATACAATTTATCTCTAAAAATTCCGGGTTTTTGTCCAGAATCCCCTGCAGCTGTTTGTATAACCTTTCATATAGACCACTTTTGTTTTACAGTAATGTATTATGTACTTTGTCCACAATTTTAATTGCTTCAGTCAATGGAAGATTTGCTGTTTCCAAACTGGTAATTGAAGCAGGTAGAATTATAACAGCAGCTGACAGTTCAAGATGTTCTTTGATTAATGAATTTGAAAATTTGTCTTTTGCAATGGAAGCATCCACTGCTTCCTCAGAATTGATGTTATTGAAAGTCCATTTCCACAACTGAAAATGGTTCACATAATAAATGGCAGCTTCTCTCCATATTCCCCAGTGAGGAAATCTGAGATCAGGTTCACATTCTTTAAAAATTTAATTTGAGCTGGGCATTTAGTGAATACATTTTTCATGTTTGGTATTAATGAATTCACATCTTTAAAAGCTGCTCTTGGCTTCTTCAGCAACTTGAAGAGCAAGGAGTAGACACACAGCATGTAGCATTTTTGGATAGAGCATGTGCAATCCCTTGCATTCCTTAATCATATAGGGTGTGCCATTATTTAAAAAGAAAAGGATGGAATTATACTTTATTCCTTCTGGTCAAAGAATTCCTAGGGCATTTTCAAATAAACTTGCTATTGTTTTGTGGTTAGTCATTTCCAAAACTTTGGATCATAGAAGAAAAGTCATACCAGGCACATTCTTTCCCAATGTTCCTACAATTACATTTCCTATAGCTCAGAACATTGAGTCACAGCTATTCTTAATCAACTTAATGTATCTTCATAATATTTTGATAGATAAGATATTTCTTAATTGTTGATTTATCAGGTATGTTTTTTGGGTGTATTTCTCTAGAAATTGACAGAATATGGAATTACTCAGTTTTTAAAAAGGGATGTCTTCTGCCAAAACAGCATTTGTTTAGTCCAAGATAAATTGGGATTGGTTTCCTGTAGCTACAGTTAATGAATTATTGTCAGTGGTAAGGAGATTTTGCTTGCTGAATTTATTCAAAGCTGCTTTATGTACCAGGGTGTCAATATGCTGTAGGATCTGAAACTTCCTTTCTGTGCATATATCCTTCTCACATTGTTGACATAAGAAAACTGCCATCAGTGCTAAAAATTTTATCTCCAAATTCAGCAAAAAACTTTTTAGTTCAACATTTGTGGATGCCTTTACTTTTTTCATTATTACTTGCTGCAGTCAAATCAAATGTATCACAGCTTTAAAAACTCAATTACAAAAATTCAAATGAATATAGGTGATGAATTTAATCAGCTGATAGAAAAAAAACCAATAGAAGGATAATCTGTTAAAATTTGCATGTTAACACATCAAAATTTAGTGCAGAAAAGGTTTAATGTGTCACACAAGGGTTTGAGCATTTTTAATAAAAAGGAGTGCTGTATCTACCTACACATGCTCAAATTTTATGGGGTAAAATTCCTGCAGAATTGAACTGATAATTTTTTGAACATGTGTTTGGAGTAAACTGTGGTAAAGAAAAGGTATCACATGTGCATTCATTCATCAAATGGTTTAATATGCATTTATAAAAAATCTTATCTAAATATCATTTTACATATGTTTCTATGCAAATGTATAAAGTTTCTGTCCTTAGACATAACTGTATCGAACACCCACAACATAAATTTTCATTGTATGTATTTTAATACATACAATGAAAATTTATTAAATATGCAAAACTTACCCAGAAAGTAAAGCATTTGTGGAGAATGGATAAGGTTATTATTATGCCAATAGTCCTTTCTTGGAGAGTTACGAAAATCTAGAAACAGCTTCACAATGGTAGACATCACACTAAAGAAGACTACCATACTAAACACATATCACATTGTCAGGAAATTCTTAATTGCAGATATATACACGAATGGCATGCAAATGAATTTTTTTCTATAGTTACGCCTTGACTTCTGGTTCAGCATAGCAGTAGGCACTGGTATATATGCCATGTAGAATACTCTATCAACCCTATAATAATAATAATAATCATCATCATATACAAATATAAACAAAATTATTATTTTGATATTTTACTTTGAATGTTGAAATATTTACTATTTAATCAAATGTTTTTAAGTGCTTGAAAATTAATTTATTGGAATTAAGCCAGTTAAATAATGTCAGATAATATTTTAATAAATATCTTAAATTTTTTAAATAAATAAATGGGTCATAATTTAAATCATTTATTTATCATGTTTTCTTGAGTCTAAAGTGATGTTTATTTGGTCTCAAAAATTGGAGAATACATTAGAACCACGCACACAAGTCAACTTAATTCAACTTCTTCATTCTTTCTTCATTCAAATTATTTGCTTGTATTATGACATTGGTATAGATATGATATACATCCCTATTACTACAACTAGTTTTTTGGTTTTGAAATGGTTGATTGTCTTGTTCACTTGGATTGCTGTAGTACAAGATATCCAGCAGGTGAATCTCTTATGAAGCTGTGTTTAAGCAAAGAGTTATCCACTATGCTTAAGAACATATAACAGCTATACTAGATATTTAGTATGACAATGAAATATTTTGTTTGTGCATACTGACATGAAATATTGCTATTAAAATGTTGATTGTATGGTAATTGGACTGCAATATTCAAATTGCCACTGTTGTCTGTCTGTCTGCCTTTAATCTTTGGAACAGAGTTAGATAGGTAAGAATTGAGACCAAATATGAGAATCTTGGAGCCATAGGCCCTAATTAACTGTATATGAACTTTCAATCCAGACCAGAAGTTACATGATTTTTTTTTTAAAATTAAAACATTAAGAATTGCAGTTTGGTATTGTGACAATGTCACAATAAATAATTACATGTACTATTTACTTAAACTTAAATTCAATGTAGGCTAGTTTTGACTGATAGTTGTATTGGTCCACAATTCTCTGTACCTGATAATGGAGTCAGAGAATTATACCTGTAAATTCAAATTCATTTGAAAATGTGGTCATTATGAAGCATTGTAAATGTGAAAATTAAAATTTTTCAAAAAATGCTGTAGTACTGTGATTTTCAAAAAATTATTTTGTGTTTAAATGAATTAACTTTTTGTGGCTACATTACATTCACAAGCTAATCTCCTCCTCTTTGGGTGTGCATTAGCTTTGATGATACATTACAATTGAGAAAGCTGTGTGTGTCTGTGTCTATGCATGCACACACACATATATATTATTTATTTAAATGATTAAGGTAATACATATATAATTTTTTTTTCTAGTCTTTGAAGTATTCATTCCAGACTGCAGATAGGCTATGTTTTGTTATGGAATATGTCAATGGTGGAGAATTATTTTTTCATCTGTCTCGAGAAAGAATATTCAGTGAAGAAAGAACAAAGTTTTATGGAGGAGAAATTCTTTTAGCATTAGATTATCTTCATACTCAAGGAATCATCTACAGAGATCTAAAGGTCAAATATTTTCACATGCAGTATTTTAGAATAATGTTTTTAAAGATTGTATTGTATATAACTATTATTTATTAATGACGATTAAAAGGTACATATAAAAGATATTTACAAGTATTAAATATTTTAAAATATATTCATTCTTGTTAAAAATAAACTTGTTGCTTTTATTTGTGTTGATAATTTTTGTAATAATTGTTTTATTGTTATAATGTTGCTGTCATTTAACTATTGGATATAATAAAAATTTGCAAAATTAAATTTATTATTGATAATTTATAATTCTTTTTATCAAAGAATATTGTAATTACCCTCTGTAACAAAGATTGCCTTTAATATTAATAAAGTATTTTAATAAATAATTCTTTTTATCAAGTTTGAAAAGCATTCATTAATTTACTTTTATTCTTTAGTTAGAAAATTTATTACTAGACAAAGATGGCCATATCAAGATAGCTGATTTTGGATTATGTAAAGAAGACATCAGTTATGGTGCCACCACAAAAACATTTTGTGGAACACCAGAATATTTAGCACCAGAAGTGAGTTTCATGTTTGTGTTGCTTGCTTATGTAATAATATAATGCTCCAGTATAGTTTAAAATTACTATTCTGTGCAAATAATTTTGTAAACCTTTTTATAAACAGATTTTATGATGATTAAAAGTAAAATTTAATAAAAACTAATGTAATTGAATGTAAGAGCAAAAACATATTTTATTCAAAACTGGTAATATTTTTATTTTCATTTTCTCAGCTGAAATTTTTCACTTGGGATCTTGAAACAAGGAAATGTTAGTATGGATGTTAGTGTGTGGGTGGGAGGGCATGATTTTGTTCACCCGCTTTGTATTCCCTTACTTCTTAATTCCTGTGCATTTTATTGAAAATTTTTAGTATTTTGCAGAGAGGCTTGTTTGTATATTAAGGAATTGATGCTATTAAATTACGGTGGTTAAAGGTTGGGTAGGGAGATAAAGTCGTGTGTTATATCTTGATGGAGTCACACTTAATGAAGATTTTACTCATTATTAGCATTTACAATTTTTTTATAAGTCATTTCTACTTTCAAAGTTAAGCTTTTTGCCATTTTATAATAATTAATAAAATCTTATAATTGATGGCACCACTCACTTTTGCCAGGAAAAGTTAAACAACTCATTGCTGGATATTTTTAATATTCATAATTCACTCTCAGGTTATCTTAGTGTAATGTAACATAGAATTGAAGTTTAGATTTATAAAGCAGCTTAACAAGATATAATTCTGCTAAATTGTATACATGTTTAAATAACAAGATAAGAAATTGCAAATGATTTTAACAAATAACAAAACTTACAGCCACATTTACATTAATTTGGAAGAATCTATAAGAAATGTAAATAAACATAGAAGTATTTGAAGATAGTAAGTTTATGTATATTATTTAACTTCAAATATCCAATATGATTAAATTTAGATTTTTTAAAGCAATTTAAATATGACATTTTTATTGTGTAAATATTTTAAAATGAACCAGCAAGCATACTAATATTTTACTTATTAAGCAATTTTTAGAAAAATGTGTTATGAATTAGAAAGATTAATCATCTGAATAATGTGAAATGACAAGTAACAACTGGATTAAACATACAGAGATAAACTAATTACAGTTTCAATTTTGTAGATCTGTTACAGCTTTTAAAAAATAGAGAAGATAAACAAAAAAATGCAGTAAAGTAATAATCATTTTGCATATAATTAAAATTTTTTATATAATAATTTAGAATTATTGTTATAATAACTATAAATAGGTATAATTGTTTAAATTTTCAAATTCTTGTAACATAAACTCTGTTATTTTTGTTTATGCTTGGAAAATGAAAAATTTCTTTATTTCCTTTCAGGTTTTAGAAGATACTGATTATGGTTTAGCTGTTGATTGGTGGGGACTTGGAGTTGTTATGTATGAAATGATGTGTGGAAGACTACCATTCTATAATCGAGATCATGATATATTATTTGAGTTGATTCTTGTGGAAGAAGTCAAATTTCCAAAATCTCTTACTCCTGATGCCAAAAATCTTCTTAGTGGTTTACTAATTAAAGACCCCAAGAAAAGGTAGGTTCAATACACAGTTAAACCTTGTATGTTTTTTCCTCGGGGGAACTGAAAAAAGTACTGTGTAAGTGAGAAAAAATGTACAAGTGAACTACAGTGATACCTTGGTTTTTGTCGATAATCCATTTGAAAGCAATCGGTGAAGTCCGAAATCGACAAAAACCGAGGCAATTATTTCCATATGAATCAAATGTAAATCCAGTTAATTTGTTCTAGACCATGGGTGGCCAACAGTTTTTGCCCCCGGGCCAAATTGGAAAGAGAACTTTTTCTACGGGCCGAACCAGAGGCTGCCGTAGGAAGATTTTGAGGATCTCATTGTTGTGTCGCCCCGTAGAGACTGAATTGTAGATAGAGATTACAGATACATTTTTCGCATTATGATGCTTTATCAACACTCTACACTGTACTTACGAGATTCGTAATGGAAGGTTAACTCTAAACGCACAGTGAGTTGATTTTTTTTTAGATGGAATTTTTCATCGAGCTATTCGGACTTCAGTACCTAATATTGAAAGATTGATTGCGGGCCACATAAATTCGTTAGATAGGCCGGATCTGGCCTGGGGCCGTATGTTGGCCCGGCCCGTTCTAGACACTTTAAAATACAAACCAAAAACACATTTTATAGATACTAAATATAGTGTAATACTAAAAACAATAAGAAATTAATATAAAATGAATGTAAAAGACTAATGTGATGACCTCCAAAACAGAATTGCCATCTAACTGTTTTTGATTGATCCAAATTTAATAACAACTATTTGACTTCTTCAATTGTTTATGATCTCTCAATTTTCATTAGCATATTCATGCCTTTTGCTACATTCATTTCCTTTATTGCTTTTTTTCCGCAATGGAACTTATCAAGGATAGCGACTTCCCATACATGTGGTCGATTTTAGTAATCTTAATGCTGCTCTAGTATTTTTCAATTATTTCCTTCAACTCGGTTATGTTCCTGGCCTTCTTCTTCAAAGGGCTACTGGCTCCAGAAACTTTTTTTCATTCCATGAAGGAGCTAAAAGGAAAGGAAAGCAATGGAATTGTTTGGCTAGAGGTATGGGGTAATGCTCACACAATTAGAAACTATGCCATATTGAGCAGGAAAACACGTGGGTCGCTCTTTGTTTTTGCAAAATTAGCAGCAAGTTTATGTGGACATGCTGATGAAATCTGAGGCAACTGACAAAAATTGAGAGAGATTTTTTGTGGAAAAAAATCAACGATAAGCAAGTCAACGAAAACCGAGGTATTACTGTACTTTGAATTGCTTTCAGGGAGTATATAGTCATCACAAAGTATGGTGTAGCACAAATTAACAATGTACAACTAAATTTCTCTGTGGAATTCTTTACAAAGTTTTATTTTACTATATGCATAATACATTTCAACAGCAAATAAAAGGGAAAGTAACACAATGTGAAGTTAAATCATGTTACTTTTAAAAAAATTGATTACTTTTTTTTTTTAATGGACTTGTCTGATGTCACAATTTGATGTTATATACTATACCAGCTATAACTCCAGTTTTGTGGAAGAATGAAGTCATTCTGAAGATTAATTCACACTGACAGCAAATAGTGAAAATGAATGAGAAACTAGAAAGCAATTTTTATTTACTTAGCAAAATTGGTTCCCACTACAAAACAAAAAGGAGAGATTTTCTATGTATTGAATTGGTGGAGCAATTTGCTAAACAGGAAAATTCATCGGAAACAACATTACATGTTACATATAATTCACTCTGCCAAAAAAATGCAAAAAACAATATGTTATCAGTGTGGACTAACAAGAAGTGAATACATAATTTGCTTTTTCACTTTTTTTTATAATCTCTTAAAATTTTTCTGTTTCAGAATGAATAATGGAAAATTGAGGGAAAAAGTTCTGTGGTATGCTGAAAAATATGTTGAAATGTGAAATTGTATAATGAAGTGTTTTTCTTTATAATGGAGAATGTATCATAAAGAAAATATTTAATGTATAATTGTTGAAATGTACAACTGAGAAACATATAAACAGGGTTTGACTGTGATTTTAAAAAATTTAACATTTTAACTCAAAATTTTAGGATAAAATTAGAATAAATATAAAACACAAACTAATTATCATGTTTTTAAGATAAATATTCTTAATGATTCTCACATTTTAAACTGTTATTTTATATCTTCATTTATATTTTATCATCAGAATAAAGTTAATCTTAACTTTAAGAATTCAGTAATTTAATAAATAACCTGAAATTTTATATTATTATTTTTATTTGTATTTATATAAGGACCTTGAATAAGTTCTTGCTGTTTTTTTTTTGTGAAAATTAACACTTTATTTAAAAAAAGTCGTAATAAACACATCACTGAAAGTATTGTCCATCACTAGCCACTACTTTCTCCCATCGTTCTGGCATCATTTGAATTCCATGTCGGAAAAATGACACGTTTTTTGAGGCTATCCAAGAATCAACCCATTTTTTGGCATCTTCATAAGAACGAAAGTGCTGCTCAGCCAGGCCATGTGACATCGATCGGAACAAGTGATAATCGGAAGGGGCGATGTCTGGTGAATATGGCGGGTGGGGTAGGACTTCCCATTTAAGCATTTCCAAGTACGTTTTCACCGGTTGTGCAACATGTGGCCGAGCATTGTCATGTTGCAAAATCACTTTGTCGTGTCTCTGCTCATATAGCGGCCGTTTTTCCTTCAATGCTTGGCTCAAACGCATCAATTGTAGTCGATAGCGATCTCCCGTGATAGTTTCATTTGGTTTGAGCAGCTCATAATAAACTACACCTAGATGATCCCACCAAATGCAGAGCAGAAGCTTCGAACCATGGATATTCGGCCTTGCTGACGATGTTGATGCATGACCGGGCTTACCCCACGATTTTCTACGCTTAGGGTTATCGTAGTGTATCCACTTTTTGTCACCCATTACGATACGATGCAGAAAACCTTTTCTTTTCTGCTGTTGAAGCAGCTGTTCACATGTGAAAAGACGGCGTTCGACATCTCTCGGCTTCAACTCGTACGGCACCCAATGTCCTTGCTTTTGAATCATTCCTAATCCTTTTAAACATTTCAAAACTGTTGTGTGAACAACAGATGGCGTTACGTGGTTCTGGTAACGCCATCTGTTGGAAAACAGCGAGAACTTATTCAAGGTCCTTATAAATATAATTTTAGTAGTTTGCAAAAGATGAAGTAAGACATTAAGATAAGATGACAATAAAAATATATAAATAAAATTTACTGAAGTTACAAAATTGTCTTTGTGTTTTGTCATTACAAATGTCAGTGACTTCCAAAAACAATTTTCACTTGCAGAGATGACCTTTCATTTGAGGCTACATCTCTGCAATAAAATGCAAAATGATAAAAGTGTCTTCTGGCAATTATGCCAATATTATAATTCACAATAAATTCATTCATTCAAATAAGATTCATTAAATATAAATCTTTTTTATATATAATATAATATATTAAATATAAATGAATTTGGAAACCAGAAATTGCTCTCATGTTTCCAAATACAATTGGCTTGAATTCTAAAATCATTTGTAGATGTTTTGAAAAAGCACTGTATAAGAAAGTGAATTTGTCTTGAATAGCTGTCATTGTTTCAACATTTTCATTTATAAGACAAAGAATACAAAATTTTTTTAATCATATATTGATGCTGACTGGTAAACTTATGGTGACTTGTGTAGTAATAGATGCATCATATCATACCAAAGCCTAAGAGGAAGTCTAAACATCACTAACAGTAGTCAGTCAATTATCCCATTTACAGAATTGTCAGAGACATTAAGATGTGTTTCAGTTTGTTTTTTTTTTTATTGTAAAATTTTGTCTGCATTTTTATAAAACAAATTTTATTATTGTGTATTATTTATCATGAAGTATCAGAAATATAATATTTGTAATATGGCATGTTTTAACAACTGTATTAACAGTTTGGTGATCAGAAAGTGATTTTTTGTTTTTATATCCTAATATGATAGAATTGTTACGTACATGTAGATGTATTGTGTTTGTTGTTTTTGGAAATTAGTTGAGTTTTAGCATGACATAATGCATTATAATTTTTTCTATTTAAAAAGATTGGATACAGAGTGGGACCAGTTAATGTTGTCTAGTAGAATTTCAGGAATGGATTATTAATGATAAGATGATTTCTTTTCCAATCTTAATGATATAAAAATATTACTATATTTAAAAAATTTTTAAGTGTAATTTTTCAAAATACTAATTAATATTTACAAAATGAAATAAATACTATTTGTATAATTTTTATTCTTAGGCTTGGTGGAGGTCCTGATGATGCAAAAGAGATTATGATTCATTCATTTTTCAGAGGAATGAATTGGCAAGATCTTTTAGAGAAAAAAGTAAGTTAATTAAATATTTCACTGACAAACTTTGGGAGGTTATAAAGGATGTAAAAAGAAATCTTTGTTAATAATATTTTTACTTTATAATTCACTATTGCATCACTATTGGATTTTAAATGTGCATAAAATAATTGGGAGACAATGTAGATTTCCACCTTGTTGCATCATAGATAAAGTTGGCCAAATTTTCTGATTAAGGTGAAAGAACAGTGTGTAGAGATGCCTTGAAAGATGCCAAGCATATCTTTCATGGTATACCTCATAAGAGATGCCTTATAGGCATTTAACATAGAACAGAAAAAAGTAATGAATGAGAAGTCTTTAGACTGTATGAACAATGATATTCTGTCTGTCAAATTTAACTTATCATTCCAACTTTGCATCAGTACATCATTGCAAGAAACAGGTTACTTCTTTTGAAGATTTGATGGGTAAGGAATTGCACAGCAGCTATGCTTGTGCAAGAAGAGCTTAATTTTTATACAAGCTACTGTGCAATTTGCTTGTGCTATGGAGGCAATCATGTCACCATGTGAAATATACCACATGGTCATTGCCTTCATCCATGTAGCCAATAGCATGTACAGGCCTTAGGTCCTTGTGACTGCCTAGTGTGATTATAGTTTGTACAATAGTATTTAGAATAGGTTCAGTTGTAGACTATATGATTAGATCTTTTGGTTTTTAAGCTTGTAATATAAACATTTATAAAATAAATCTAGCTAATGTCTAATATACAGTATATACTATATTTACTCAAATATAATATGCTACTGAATCCAAAATGCACCTTAATTTCTATATCCATGAAATTTGTTTTATTTTAAAAAATAGGGAACTTGACATTTATGTCATCAGAATCACATCTGTTGACATAAATTTACGTGGTATTTATTGCAGAGTAAATAACTTATGTATTACTGTCTTCCATGGTATTGAAGTCAGAAACCTCTTCACTTTTTGTATTAGGTTTTGAATCAATCCTGGATTTGATGCATCTTTTTACATGTAATCATTCTCAGTGCTGTTTTAAGGATCAGAATGCAACTTTTCTTGAAAGAGTTCTACAAATTTCTTGGGCTTTTCATCCAGGTACAGGAATACCCCAGGTTATGTACATAATATGTTTTATCAAATAACAGTTGTCATGTGAATGCCATTTCCCATACATTTTTTATTATTATTATTTAAAGAAAGTTTCACCTCATGGAAAGTTTTTGAGCAATGACTGTATGGTTTCACGCCCCAGTGTTCTGCAGAGGATGCCCTCGTTAAGTTGTGTGATACTCTATAGCAGGAGTGTCCAGCCTGCAGGCCACATGTGGCCCAATAAACGTGTAAATAAAACAGACAGATTTTTTAATTTAATTTTATTTATTTCAATGGCATAAATTCAAAAAAAGAAGTTTCACAAAGCCATAAACCTTTATACATATTTAATTTTTGAGTGGAAAGGAAATATTTTCAAATACTTGGAAATGTGTGAATGAGGAAGGAGTACTAAATAAAGCTGAAGTTGAGACTCAAAAAATTATAGACCCAAATTTGGAGAAAGGAGAGTAAGACCAAAAGATAAAAAGTAGTGAGAAAGGTTACATAGACTTTCAGTTAAGCAAATATGGACCCTTAATTTCCCAACCTTCCTCACTTCTTTATCTTCTGTCCTTTCTCTCCTTTCCCCGTATTTGGGTCTATAATCCTTTGAGTCCAACTCCAGCTTTATTTGGTACTCCTTCCAGTGTTTCATGATTTTGCTACTTTGCGCCAAAGTTGGCTACCCTTTTTTTATTTTGGCGTAAAAAATATGATTTGGTGCATTGGCTACTTTTTGTGCTACATCTAATTTATAAATATATTAATTGAATAAACCTTTTGTCATTTTTTATTAATCAGAGACCCAAATAAAACAAATATTTGTGTTTTTCAAATAAATTTTTGTTTGTCTCCTTTATAATAAATGAATTTATCTATTTCTAAGTGTCTGTAGAAGTAATTTTTTAAAATATCCTTTTTCATGATAAAGATTTTAATACTTATTACTATAATCTAGACATGTTAATCCTTAAATGTACAAGTACTGTAAGGTCTCGTTTTATGCTGATTTTTTTATGCAATTTTGAAGTTGTGCGGTTTGTATTTCATCCAAATTTTTTATGGACAAACAAACATATAAACTTGTTTAGGAAGCCCGCGTATAGACAGTCTCCAAAAATCGTGGAACGCTCAAAGCTCACTCCATTTGTTCCACTGACATATAACGTTTATGGATGTAAAGGACAGCTAGATCTACCTTAATCGCTTTAGTTCCTAGCAATTTTTGATATAAATGTAATTAAACATTAAAAATACTTAAAACTAAAAAAAACGAAAGAAATGCGTTAATTTTGAAGAAAAAGCTTCAAAGTTTAACTTCCTTTGTCTTGCCCTTCTGTGAAATTTAACACCGATGAGTCAGTTTATACATCTGGATGACCTTGAACACAGCTGGAGTTGGATTTCCCGGGGCATTCTCATAAACGTCGCGGGAGGACAAGGGTTTAAAGTAGGGTGAAGCTGGCCGTATATTTTTTAATATTTTTAAAAAATTTGGAGACTTAAAAAACATTCCAAAAATAAAAAAAAAATGTAAAACTATATTACTTTTCAATAAAATTAACTGAATTAAGTTTGAATACAAGTTTATTTTAAGCTTTTATATGAATTTCTTTCAGACATTCGAAGTAATTTATTAAGCAGCCTATTTCTTTTAATTTCTGCAAACTTTTTTTATGCGGTTTTAAGTTAATTTTAATTCGTTGTTTTGGTTTTATGCGATTTTAGAAAATTACGGAATGTATCCCTACTTTTTCAAGGCAAGTAAAGTCTTTTTTTATGCAAATTTTTTATATGCGCTTTTCTGTAGAACGTATCCACCGCATAAAACGAGACCTTACAGTATATTTAAGGATTGGGCCACAAGTATATTATATATACTTGTGGCCCAAAACTCCATGACATCTTCCAATGTGGCCCAGAGAAACAAAAAGGTTGGACACCCTCCCTGCTCTATAGCAAGGAAAGAAGAGATCAATGTATCTGTTAGTATTTCTATATATCAAAGGTGTATTTGGCAATGCTTGGTGGCTTTCAATTTTAAAATTTATCAGAAAATACTACAAAATATTTTCTACATGCTCAAGGATTTCTTAAAGGACAGAACAGCTGAGCTTAAATTGTGCTTTGTTAAAAAAAAATACCTACTCCCTAAATAAAGGCTGTCCTAAAGGCTCGGTTTCTGGATTTCTACTCTGGAATGTTATAAATGCCTTGCTAGTTATCAGACTGTTTCTGTTTGTTGGTTATAAAATCATCTATATCATTAAAAAATAATTAATTATTGACAACTTGCCAAATTTTCATAAAACCCAGTCATTTTTAGTCTGTTTGGATACATCAGGGGTCTGCAACCTGCGGCTCTTTTAATGCATAATTGAGGCTCTTTTTAAATAATACAGTCGACCCCCCTATAAGATCATTGATTATTCCGTTTTATATGAATTCCATGTTGTACGAATCACTTAGATTTTACAAATACATGTACCGGGCTGTGAACGGCTCACGTATTTGTAAAATTTAAGTGACTCGTACAACATGGAATTCATATAAAACGGAATAATCAATGATCTTATACGGGGGTCGACTGTAAATTATCTAAATTAACAATAGCAATATATGCATAGCAATGCTATAAATTGTAACGCATCTANTTATCAAGTCTTAGATGGCACAAAGTGTAAAAATTAGACTATGCTCATGAGAAATGTTTATTGTATTGTAAATAGAAAGGTTTCCTTACTTTTATGACTGAAAAAACAGTTGTTGTTTGTCCCTAGAATTTGATTGTTTTTATTTAGATTGATTCTAGAATTTCTCAGTGTTACTCTTGTGTTGGCAAGTGGTCTGTAAGTTTTCTGCTTTTAGTTTTGTACTCTATTGGATATCTTATATAGAAGTTATTCTACTGTTTTATCAAGTAAGTTTATTATAATAATATTATTTCCGGAGAATATTATCTGTTTTCTTGTGTGTAAGATATAAAAAAACAGGTTTTTAGATAATTTTTCTTATTTGTTAGATTGGTAGAAAATCGCTATTCTACTTTTTCTAATTAATATGGCTGGAGAAAAGTAGAAGAAAATCAAGAATTTAGAAGTGAATGGACTGAATCCTATGCAGTTGTTTCAAATTTAACAGGATTTCCAGTGTGTTTAATATGTCAAGAAAAGTTTTCTAATAACAAAAAATCAAATGTACAAAGACATTTTTTAATTAAACACAAAGCATTTGCGAACACTTATCAAGAGGAAGAAGAAAGAAGAAAGGCAAAAGAACTTTAATGTAAAATGAACTTAAAGGTACATTTTCAAATTGGATAAAATCAAGTAGCAGTACAACTACTATTAGTTTTGTTGCCTCTCTAGAAATAGTGAAACAGAGAGTCATTTACGGATAGTGACTTTGTGAAAGATTGTTTTATTAAAATGTCTGAGTATCTTTTTTGCAATTTTAAAGATAAAACAGAAATAATTGCTAAAATAAAGAACATACCATTGTCTGCTAAAACTGTAAGAGACAGAACTAGTTGTATGGCAGATGTAACTAGTTAGTGAGTTACAGATTTAAGTTCAACACTAGGATTTTCTATTGCCTGTGAGGAGTCTTGTGATGCGAATTATATTGCACTGGTTGTACTTATTTGTAGATACGTTAACTCCTGGTGAGGATATAGAATCTGATGTTACCAGTTGTTTGAAAAGTAAAAATATTGATATTAATAAAATAGTATCAATTGCAACCAATGGAGCACCTAGTATGAAAGATGAAAAGAAAGGTTTTGTTTCTATGTTTAAAAAACAAATTTTGCATGACGTTTTTTCTTTTCACTGCATAATCCATCAAGAGGTACTTTGTTTGCAAACTTTTCTGAAGGAATAACATTAGTTTTGAACCTGGTTGTACAAATTGTGAACAAAATAATGGCAAGACCACTATATCATCTGCAATTTTGTGAATTAACGAAGTCAACAACCAATATCCTGATCTTTTACACAATAAAGTAAGGTGGCTTTCCAGAGGAGCAGTGTTAATGCGATTTGCTGCTTGCAATAAAGAAATAATTATTTTTAAAGCAAAAAGATCTCGAATACATTGAGCTCAATAATCACAATTGGTTACAAAAATTTTATTTTATGGTGGATATGACCTCACATTTAAACACACTAAACAAGAAACTTCCAAAGGAAGGAAAATACACCTATTTTGCTTTTAGAAGAAGTTTTTGCTTTTGAACAAAAATTACGTTTGTTTATCGCAGACTTAGAGAAAAAGACATTTTCCTATGTTGAAGAAATATCAACAGGATCATATTTCAATAGATTCAGCATATTTCGCACAAATAGTGATGAATATGAAATTAGGATTTGGTAAGAGATTTAAATAGTTTAGAAAGGAAAAGGCAATGTTATCACTTTTATTGAGACTAATCAAAATCAATTCTACCGATTTCAATATTTTACCTTTTAGTGATATTGATCAAGCAGTTTTTTCAACTAGAACTAGCAGATTTAAAAATCAGGGAAATGTAAAGTTCAAAATTTGTAAATCTTAAAAATGAATTAGAAAATTTAGAGAAACAGAAATCTTTTTTTGCTGTGCAGCATAAATGGTCAGAGATAGAAAATCTTAAAAGGCAAGATCAAGTTGTTTCTGATACTTGGAACAGTTTGCCTGATACTTACATTCAATTAAAAACTTATGCATTTGGACTTCTATCGATTTTTAGTTTGACATATTTTTGCAGACAGACATTTTCGAACATTAATTTTATTCAAAATAAACTAAGAAATCAGCTTAACGGTGTGAGTCCGATGTCTTGTTTGAAAATAAAAGTAATGTCGTATATTTACTGAATTTTGACAAACTTTCTCGAGAAATTCGGCAACAAAAATCTCATTAGAAACCATATATTATTCTTATTTTTTATGAAGTTATCTATTAACTTTTTTATCCATACAAGTTTAATATTATAAAATACTTGATATCTCAGCATACTGTTTGACCGACGAAAAATGTTAATTTATATGTAAGGATATTTAAAATCACTTATTTTTTACTTTAAATTAATAATTATATTTTATAATTACGACTATTGTAACATTGTTAATAAATAATTGAATTGCAGTGTATTTTATTACAGCACCTTTAAGCAAAGCACAAATAAACCCATTTTAACAAAAAATAACATGTTTTATGCTAAATTTTCAAAAATGTATTTTTCATAATTCATGTTGCTGACTTGCAGCTCTGTATATTTTGGTAAATATAATTTCTAAGATGGCTCTTTATGTAAAGAAAGGTTGCCGACCCCTGGGATACACCATGCAAAAACCAGACAGGTGGCAATACTTTGAATGGATGAAGTGTCATATTGGTGGGGATAGTTAAGTTGGATCATGGCAGAGGTAAAAAATATGCATGTTTTATTGTGAGATAGTCGTAACCTGGAACACCTGTACTTATAACATTACAGTAATAGATTAATGTGACTGAGTTGACTTATTAAATATTTTCTATTATGAATATTAGTCTAATAAAATCAATAAAATGATGCAATGAAATTAGTCACAGAGAAATAATATGTATAGCACTAGAGGTTGCTATTATGACATATTACAACAAATCTATGACTTGTCCTGTTTTTCAGAGATGTACCTGAAAATGTGTTACATTTGAGTAAATATGATGATTAGGTTTAAAATGCTAACTGTTTTTTTGTACTAATAAAATATTTATGTATAAAATATAAATATATCATTAAATAATATAATTTTTGAAGATAGTTTTTATTACATCAATTTTTTTTTCTATTAAAGGTAACACCACCATTCAAACCACAAGTGACCAGTGATACAGATACAAGATACTTTGATCAAGAATTTACAGGAGAGTCTGTAGAACTTACACCACCAGATCATGGACCTTTAAATTCGATAACCGAGGAGCTGGAACAACCATATTTCCAACAGTTTTCTTTTCATGGCAGCTCCAGTGCTCTAGGGCGGAGTGTAGATCATTGCTGAGATTTTGAGCCTTTTAGTCAGAGTCTATGTAATTTCAAAATGGCAGCAAAATGGCTAATCACCCGATATCACTGATTCTTACTGAATCAAAAGAAAGCCAAATTAGCTTGTCATTTTCTTGTAGCCAAATTGTACAGTGTTAATACAGCACAAAGAAGAGGTGAGACTTTGTGCTGTTTTATGTTTGAAATCCTTTAAAGATATAGTACCAACATAATTTGGAAAGTTCCAATGTACAACTCCATGCTAGTCTCAATGTTTGACAAATACTAGTTTGACCACTCATAACAAGCAAGCCTTCCAAATATTTGAAAAGAATTTTTGTCAATTATCTCCTCTTGCTTGTGCATATTTTTGTACATGAAACTGTAAATACAAATGTGCATATAATCCATATCCTTCACACTAACACAGTCTCTGATCGGAAAGAATTGCACAATATACTTCGTTGTTTCGTAATTGACCAGACTATCAGATTAAAAAACAAAAATTAAAAGTTTGAGTATCTGTTAAAGTTTTTTTTTTAATTTTATAGTTTTAATTTCAGCATTTTTACTTAAAAATTTACTTAAAATCTTTGTGTAATTTTACCATCAAACAGAGTGTTAAACATTTGAATGGTGGTTTATTTTAAATAATTATTAAAATAATAGAAAATACATTAATATAACAAAAATATATATATATATATAAAAATATATATTTTCATTTTCCTATTAATTAATTACTAGATAAGTAAATGTATATCTCAAGGCCAAATTCTTTTTAACGTTAGATCTACTTGCCGTCACTTCAAGAAGCACAGTTTACAGTTGTTTCTTTTTAATTAAAAATTTTTTTTTAACAAAATTAACATAAATTTATTACTTTTGAAAATTCTCTATTTAAATTTTATATAATTATTATTAATAAATTCTATATTTGTATAAAAATTGTTAATTTCTTCTTCCTAAATCATTAACATTTATTCCTTGTGGTTTAACTTTTTAAACAAGATCACTGCCTATATGTGTGATTTATATTATTGTTATTTAAAACTCATAACTTAGGTTAATTATGGCACGTGTATAAAATTTACATCTTTTGAATGTGTTTTGTTGAATTCGATCGGAATTTGTGAAGATGAATGTTTGCCATACTAAACTAGAATGAAAGATTTATCATTCTTTAATTTTGAATTAGTATATATATACATATCTGTATATTTTTCGTTTTCTTTTTTTTTCAATAAGTTAATTGATATTCTATTAAAATTATGGGAATAAATTTACTAATTTACTTTATTTAATGTAAAGTAGAGAATCGCACCTAAATGCAAAATTTCCAGCAAAGAAACACTTAACTTCAATGTTGGAATGTTTTGAGCCACTATTTTATCGGCCCTCTTCGGGAAATGTAAAACGAAAAAACTTTTATAAATAGAACGTAGCTGCCTTCTAATTTTAAAAGTTGTTGTTTATTATTTTTTTCTCTTCAAACTTGCTGTTATTAATTTAAATGGGAACGAATATCTTGCAGTGTTCGATTTTGTTTCCATTTATTCATTTAGAACAGGCATGGCCAACATACGGCCCGTCTAATGAATTTATGCAGCCCACGATTAATCTTTCAATATTAGCTACTGAAGTCCGAATAGCTCGATGAAAAATTCTGACGCCTAAAAACAAAAAGTGAACAACTCACTACAAATCTCTAAGTACAGTGTAGAACGTTGATAATGCATAATAATGTGAAAAATGTATCTGTAATCTCTATGTACAATTTAGTCTCTACGGGGGACACCACAATTAGATCTCACACCACCTCAAAAGCTTCCCTAGGAAGATTTTGGTTTGGCCCGTGAAAAAAGTTATCTTTCCAATTTGGCCAGGGGGCAAAAACTGTTGACCCTCCCTTGTTTTTGCACATGAAGAGATTTTTTTCTAAGCACTACTCCTGATGCTCAATTGTACCACTCAGATATTAGAGCTTACTCACTTATGTTTTTATTTTGACAAACACACACCTAAAAAAAGGGGAGAATCCATGGGTAGTCCTATTTCAGGGAATCTCGTGAACTGGTCTTATGACAATTGGAGGAGCGGTCCTTAATAAACATCAAACATTATATCCTTATTTACACCCAATACGTTGATTACATTTTGATTGTATGGAGAAATAGATCAGATGTTGGGGACTGTTAAAGGTGTTTAATAATAACTACAAATTAACACTAAAATTGGATCAAGAAAGCTACAATATCATTAATTTCTTAGACATCAAGATTCAAGTAGCAGATAATAAGTTCAACACCACAATTTACCACAAACCTACTTACGTTTCCCTATTCACGTTGACCAATTCAGCTGACCTGTGTTCATATAAGGCATCCACTTTCTGCACACTGGTAGCGAGAGCCTACTCGCATTCTGCTGAGATGTCAGATACCAGCAAGGAACTAGAGCATCTGAAACAAGTTGTGTCTAAAGATGGGTACAGCTGCTCATTTATCAACAATCTAGTATCCAAACATCTGGCTCTGTCATCTAACACCAATAACTTTAACAAAACAGAAGCTAATTGTAGGTGGTCCTAACCTACAAATCGTCCTTCATCACACATACAGGAGGATTGCAAAAGATTTAAACATACTCGTAACATACAATAGAAAACCCAATGTTTTCCACCTTCTATATAATGCAAAGGATGACACTGAGGATGCAAGAGCTCCTGGGATTTACTGCATCCTACCACAAGACGATAGGTTCGACAGAATACTATTGTATATAGGATCCACGTACAGATCGCTGCAAACCAGGCTAAAAGATCGCAAATATGAAGTACAAAAAGGAAACATTAATACAGCTCTTCACGTTACGCCAGCGATCTGGGAATTTCCCCCTATTGGGACCAAGCTATGCTAATACACAAGGTCTTCAACTGGTAAAATATTAGAAGAGGTAGATATCTGCAAGGCAGACAGGAATGGAGTCTGCATGAACACAGATGCCGTTTGTGTACAAAATGCATGGAAATACTATTTAGACTCATAAAATATACGTCATCACAGTCTATTCGAACTTATTTGAAACTTTTAAAATTAGAAGACGGCTACATTCTATTTATAGAACGGTTTTTCCATCTTACATTTCTCGAAGAGGGCCAATAAAATAGTGGCCAAAAATGTTTGAACATTGAAGTTAAGCATTTCTTTATTGGAAATTTTGCATTTAGGTGCGATTCTCTACTCTACACGTACAGTTCCAGTTTTCTGGTAAAGTTGTTGTTTATTATTTAATGTATGTTTTGGGGGTGCTTATGTGCTTGGTGCTGAATAAAAATAATCAGAAAGTATAGAGTACGTAAGGTCATTGATATTGGAAAGATAATTCAAAATATTTTCAAATTTGAAAATACATTCATAAAATGCTTTTATACATGTATAGATATATACATTTTCTTCTTTCTTTTTTGTTAAAAGCGATGTCATTAAGATATTGTTAACATGACAATACATATAAATTTGTATGTGCATTCACTGTACAAAACCTAATGGGTTGAAAAAAAAATTAGAGAATGTTACCATTCAAATCGACCGGGGCAATAGCATCTGTCAACAATTTGTTATTCTGTTAGACAGCCGAATCGTGAAAATATAACAAGAGAGCTGTCTATATCATTGATGGTAACGAAAGAAATATTATTCCTTTGTATGAATGCCGTTAATAAAGTGATGACTGAGAGTTTAAATATGTGGCAGCTGAACTTGATAGTAAAAACTAACAATATGATTTCATTCAATAGTGCAATGATATGAATGAAAATCAATAAAGAGACTTTACAGTGTTTTTGTAGCCAAATTGTTATTTTCACGAAATAAAATATCACAATACAATAAAATTGTTGCATTTTAAGAAAATGTGTTATTGTTACATAATAGTTTTTATATATATATAATAACCATCTAATTTCAAATTTTAAAATTATTTAGGACAGACTAGAAGTATTTTATATTAATAATCAAAAAAGGTTTTATTTAATCTTAATTATTTTGGATTTAAAAACTGTTAGAATTCTATTTTTATTTCTCAAGACACTTGGAATTCTAGAAATATTACTGAAAGTACGGGATCTGGATTGTTAAATTGCAAATCATGTTATCTCTATTAAACTAAGATGCAGTCCAGTCCAATCCTCTTGTCGGGGCCGTGCCATGCTACGATACGATACATAGAGGCGGCACCGTAAGGGGACGGCATTTAAGAGGCGGCATTTTACCGAGAAAATCTACTGCACGGCCCTGTCTTTTTTGTGTTAATTCAAGATAAATACAATATTGGTAATATTATTTTCCTAGTTTAAGATAAGAGTGCCATAACCATTACCTCTAAAGGTCATTGCACAAATAGCAGTATGGAAATGTTTTACAGCTCTGTTTCAAAACAATGTTCTCGGCAATATACAAATTGTTTCCTGAGCAAACTTCAACATTCTGCAGGTATAGGCTAAATGGAATGAATGACTTAAAAAGAATCACATTTAATGTTTTATTTGTGTAATTTGATATATTTTTCAACAAATCAGCAATGAATATCAGAAATTTCTAGTTTTCTGGGTTATTCTCTAATATCTAACATATGTTTATCTGAGTGTGCAGTCTTCAGTTACTATGCAATACATCATACTTGGGATAGATGATGATAGCTATTTGAGAAAGCTACAGCTTCTTTGAAGCACAATTGTTATTTTCTATGGTTTTTCTTGTGTGTGTGTGGAAGTTCTTTGCGTAAGATAAAAACGTTTCGAAAACATTAAATTCTAGACAATAGATTAATTTAATATTTAACTGTACTTATGGAATAGTAATGTTTTTGATAATTCAAACTTAAAATAGATAAGTCTCTCTCAAACTTCTAAATAGGTTATTTAAGAGAGAAGTTTAACTCTGTGTATTGGAAGATCTTATATCCCGGTTTGTCTAACAGTTTTCAGGACTAATTGCTTAGAAAAATGTTATCAATCCTTCAGAATTGACAATGCTTGCTGTGAAAGTATGCACACTTTTTAAATTAGCATAAATTGATAAATCGGACTCTAGTGTAGGGAAAATGCTGAATATAAGAGTGATGTAACTATACTACAATATAGATAATCTAAATCAATATTTTTAATGGCACCCACTTTTAGATCAAAATAATCATGTACTAAATTTTATCAATACTAATTATTTAATAGTAGCTTTCTGTGAGGACACTTTTCATGATGCCTGATTTAATTAAGGCACTAGATGGCTAAGCCGTGTGCTTCCTGTTCTAGGAAACCAAATTTCAATCTGAGTCATATCCATAGAAATATTAATAAGTAGTCTGGTCCAGTTATGTTAGATGCATTTGTCATCATTTACATGCTCATGGGCCTTGCCAAATCTATAATGTATTCCAATAAAGACTTTCTTAGTGCATGTATAATAAGAATTTTATATGCTATCTGACTCAAATTAGTAATGTCTTGCCCCTGTACATCATACTTTTCTATTAGAAACAGAGTGGTGCAAGTCATTAACCTTTCAGGGGAACATTTTTGAATTGAAATAATGTAATTTCCTGTTTGTAACGGAAGTTTGTATATAGTTAATTGGGGCCTCCAGCCTTAATCTTTCCATATCTGTTCTCGGTTTTCATTTATCTAAGTTCATTTTCGAAATTAAAGAAAGACAAACGGACAATAGTGGGAATTTTTAGGTCTACAATTTTTTTCAAATTGCAGTCCAAACTGGAAAAGTACAAAAATGGTATGGTTGTTTCCTAGTAAACATTTAGTAGTTGATGGAGAATTGTTTGAAAACTCTTTTTTAACTCTCCGCCCTGTGGACATTAAGAGAATAAGAGAGCCTCATTTAGTAAGCCCATTATGGATTCAGCCAGGCTCACAATGGGGCGGCTGGGTGGTGAGGGACGAGGCCCGACATACCCGGATGTATCAAATATATGTGTTAAAAAGAAATTGCGTTTTCGTGAATTACAAATGGCGCTATCTATACCTTCAGTAAGTGGCTACGTTATCTCTGGTTAATTCAATTTTTAGCTATTTCCATTCTGTTGGCACTAAGACGATTTTTTTTCCGACACCCCATCGTCAGGACGACTAGGACCCAGAACGGGGCAGCAGGGAGGCGAAAAATGGGACCCGCCATATCTGCCATGAAAAATTCCTAAAGTTTTCTAGTCGAATTCGATCTCCGATTCCCCAGAAAAAGAAATTGATGCTCTTACTGCTGCCATCCGTCCATTAAAACATCTCGTTATACATGAGGTAATTGTGCAAATTAATTATTACGTTCGCTGGACTAACACAGTATCAGAAACAATACACACATGCGGCGACGTTCCGCAAAACTCGAAATGTTTTCATAATATTGCAAAAATAAAAAATAAACACTTCATTTTTATTGTTTCTACGTGGTAGGATCCCAAAGTTCGAGTACTTGGCTTATAGTTCCTTGCTTTGAATAGTTTATAACACTTACGCACTATCACCTCCAAGCTAATCAATCCCCTTAACACGAATAGACAGTATTTTTTTGTATAAATTGCTTTTTTGAGGATTTTCCACTAATGTTAATAACGTAAGTTTTAAAATGTGTTGGGGGATTTCAGTTTAATGCGATTTCAATAAATATTGAAGCTTTAAACAGTTGTTAAATTTCATATTAAGATTTATCAAATATAAAAATTTATAAAGTTTCATATACAAATTTAATTGTTGAAGTAATTATAATTTTAGTTCGAACATACATTTACTGTAAGGTGTGTTTGGTTAAGGTTCAACGTAGAAATAGTTTCCTCCCGTAGTGAAATCTTTTACTAGTAGAACACCGGTAAAAATATAACTTGATTAAGATACTTATAGTCGTTTAAACAACAGCTTAACAGATTTTTTTATTAANCGAACATACATTTACTGTAAGGTG